TTTTAGAACAAAGTATTTTACATGCACAAACCACGTACTTATTAAACATTTAATGTTTTAATTCAGTTGCACAGCTTGGGGAGGAATGAGCCATTCCATCACGGGTAGGAGTGAACCGCGGCTAACTAATACTTCACTTTAAAAAAGTTTTGACTTCAGCGTAAAAACATATTTACGTTTGGCTTTAATATCTTAGTATACCATTAGAAAACTCGTGTGCAACATTGCATTTATTTTTACCACATGTTATAATGCCTCGAGTCTATAAAAGAACAATTTCAAAAGCAAAAACCCCAGTAAAAATATGAAGGATGCATTACATTCGATCCAAAAAGGAAAAAGTATTAGAGAAACTGCAATAACTTCCAAAATACCCTATCCAACTCTTCGTCGTTATTGGAAAAAATTTTTGCTTGATGAAAATACAAGACTTAGCCCGAATTATTATGTTAAAAGAATATTTACAGACAAGCAGGAATTAGAATTAAAGGAATATATTTTGACCTGTTCAAGAATGTTCTATGGCCTTCCAATTAAAGAATTTCGGTGTATAGCTTTTGAGATAGCAACCATTAATAAAATTAGTATTCCACAGAAGTGGCACAAAGACTCAATGGCAGGTATTGATTGGATGAATAATTTTAGAAAGCGACATCCAGATTTGTCTCTTAGAACACCTGAAGGATGTTCTATATCAAGGGCAACATTATTTAATGCTCATAATGTAAATATATTTTTTTGATAATTTAAAAGAACTTCTTGCTAGATCACCAATATTTGCCAATCGAACTCGGATTTTTAACCTTGATGAAACTGTAACTATTACCGTGCAGAACCCACAAAAGGTATGTTAATCTTCAATAATAAGTATATTTTTATTCGTGGCATATTTTTTCTTATATATAACCTCTAAATGTTTAGGTTTTTGCAAAGAAAGGTGTTAAGAGTGTCTGCAAAGTCACAAGTGCTGAAAGAGGAACCCTTGTCACAACATGTATAATAATCAGTGCTTCTGGACAATATATTCCACCAGTAATTATTTTTCCAAGAGTGCATTTCAAGGAGCATATGTTGTTAGGAGCTCCTTCTGGATCTCTCGGACTTGCATGTAAAACAGGCTGGATGAACGGTGAACTTTTTTTAGATGTTATGAATCACTTTATCAAGTTCTCGTCAAGTACAAAAGAAAATCCATCATTATTAATATATGACAATTTCGAAGCGCACTTATCTATAGCAATGTTAAATTTAGCAAAGGAGCATGGAGTGACCATTTTGACATTACCGCCTCATTCCACGCATAAGTTACAACTACTTGATGTGGGAGTTATGGGGCCATTTAAAACTGCATATAATGCAGCAATTGATTCCTGGATGTTCCACAATCCTGGAAAAACATTTACAATTTACCAAGTTGCTGCATCTGTAGGGCTTGCTTTTCTGAAAGCCATACAACCATCTAACATTGTAGCTGCTTTTAAAAAGACAGGTATATTTCCTTATGACAGGAACGTGTTTACAGATATTGATTTTATGTGCAGTTCTGTGACAGACAGAACTTTTGATGTTAACAATACTTGCATAAAAAATCACGTAAGCATTACTTCTGATAATTTTTTTCACCCACATGTTTTACCAAATGCAGACCCCACTACCTCTACTTCTATAGATACAAACAAACTAGTTACCAATGATACCATGGTTAATCTGTCTACATCATCAGATTTCTTTATCAGCCCTAAACAATTTAGAGGTTTTCCGAAATCTTGAAAAAAAAACTGTAAAAGAAGGGAAAGGAAGAAGGGTTGCTCTATCATTGCCACAGACACTCCTGAGAGATCGGATTGAGAAAAGGCTCTGCAATAAAAAGTTAGTCAAACTTACAAAAAAATTAAAAGCAAATTTACAGAAAAATTACTTAAAAAAGACGATTCTGTATTGGAACACTTGACAGCCACAAATGAAAAAGGTTTAATAATCTTAGAAGATGATTTGTGTGCTTGTGATATATATCCTAAAGAAAATGACTTTGTATTGGTTAAATTTGAAACAACAAAAAAAAATTGTTTTATGTTGGAAAGGTTTTATGTGTAAACTCTATAAAAGAAGAAGTTACAATCAGTTTTCTTCGGAAAAAAGGTGATATTTTTAAGATGCCTAATTCACCAGATATTGTGGCTATCCCTAGAATGGATGTTAAATTGTTGCTACCTCGGTCAACTTTTTCTGGAACAAATAAAAGGCAGCATTTATATATATATATATATATATATATATATATATATATATATATATATATATATATATATATATATATATATATATATATATATATATATATATATATATATATATATATATATATATATATATTGTTATATTATTACTTAATTATGTTATGCTTAATTATAAAGTATTTGTTACTTACTTAATTTTCAATAAATTTGTTAAAGAAATTATCTAGTTTTAGTTTTCTGGTAATCAAATATAATGGCTCACTTCTACCATTTGCTTGGTTCACTCCTACCCATGCATGGGTAGAAGTGAACCAATAGCAACACCTGTGTTATTGTTCAAGTTATTAAAAATCTAAAGATATTTTGATATTTCTTGGATTACTATTAGAAACCTAATACTTTAGGCTACCTTAAGCTCCTTATCCTATACTTTTTCCACTTTTGGTTTCCTTGATATAATCGATTTAAAAAAAAGTGGCTCACTTCTACCCATTTTCCGCTATTTAAATTCTAACAAACCGCAAAAACTAAAACTATTTTAAAACACACTTCTTTAACAAAAAAATGTCTTTTTTGCTTAGTAATTTTTTTAACAGAATTGTGGCTTTGAAAAAAGCCTAGATTTTGAAGCAAACAAAACTGTGACATACTTAGATAGAAAGAGTCGATTCTTACGCAAAGGAAACCACATCCAATAATATCTAAAATAAAGTAAAAATTTCTCAAAATTAATATCGCAATACCTTTTTTATAAGGATGCCCTATGTCCCGGATAATAAATAATATATAACTGTTATTACTGCATTAATAAACATAATAAACCTCTAAATAAATATGATCTAACCTGTTTAATCTTGATATGAAAAAGATCAACATCCATTGAAGCAACCATGTAGTTTTCATCATGTTGTTTAACCTTGCAATAAGAAAAAATATAACAGATATAAAATAAAAAAAAGATAAAAATTAAGGCTAACAATTAACTAATGTATAATGAATTAACATTTAACTGTAATTACTGAATTAATAAATATAATCTTGAGGTCTTTAACATAAATACCCACAGTAGCAAATTGCCATTATTGTTAAAACCTTGCAATTAAAAATAAATAAAAATGCATTAGATATTTAGTACCATAACTGAAAAACCCATTACAGATTACTAAATATGAGAATAATTTATTAAGTGAAAAAATTCAAAATCACTTATCTCCTGATACACAACAAACTTCCCATTACCAAACAAAAAAATCGATAGCCGAACCTTCAATACTGTTTACCCTGAAATATAAAAGATTTGATTAAAAGTTATAATGAAGAAAAAGTTATCTGGTCATTACTCTCTGGTAATGGCAAGCAAATAAATAATAAATAAAAATTTTAATTTTAAAGGGATTTACTGTAATGGAACACTAACATCTCTCAATCCACACAAGCGAAACTCTGTTATACTAGATAGAAAAATGCATCGCCATCATTGATAATGATAAACATCAATGATAAACATTAATTGTCATAAGCCAAGCAATTTGCTTATGTCAAAAAGTAAATGAGCTTTGGTTTCCCATAGCACGTTGCAACCAGGTCAACCCTGGTTGTTGGATGTCGGTAACTACCCGACTACCTAAAATTAAACTTCTATATAAATATATGTATATATAAAAACAAATTAAAAAATTATAAATCTTTTCATAATACAACAAAAAAAGGAAGGAATTAGATATATATTAGGCATTGAAAAATTTATTCTTAAAAAAAAAGAAGAAATTCACTTACTATCTGTAAATAATATCTGCTAATGCAAGTTTATAAGACATACTAATACTTAAAACAACATATACCTTATTATTACACAATTCTGTTATGTTATCACCATATCACCGCTTATTATGTCTGCAGAAAGTTGATATTTGCTCATATCATACTCAACATCGTCATCATCTTCATTTTCTTTTGGTTTCCAATAAGAAACTATATATATATATCATTGTTCTTCTTTTTAATGCTAACAATTCTGCCGTAATATACCTCATAGGTGTTATTGGCATTATCGAACCACATGTGGCAAATACTTTTTCCAATAGCAGCTCCAATAAGAATTTCTTCAATATCTGAGGCCTCATTATTTTCTAGGTCAGGAAACATTTCTTTTACCTGATCGGGCATGCAACTTTTTAATATTTTTTCTACCTTTCTGCGGTCTTTGTCCTCCCTTTTCTGAATTTTATCTGCCATTCGTTTTAGCAGTTCTAACTTCAGTTCATTATGACATTGCATACTTGTAAATCGATTTTTTCTGGCATTAGAGATAGCCCATAATATCAACTTGTTTTGAATATCAGTTGGCTTTTTACAAAGCAGAGCAGTTGTTTTATTTTTGCAAGCACGAAGTTTCGAAGAAAGAAAACAAAGAGTAGCATTAGGAGCTTTGTGCTTTGCAGCGCTAAACATACCCATAAGTTCTTCTGAATCTATGTTGTGAAGCCTAGCTTACTTAGTCTGGTCTTTAAGAAGATCATTAGAACTCATTTCGAACTGACGCTTGTACTGCCTGTCAATGACGCTAATAACAGGATTAAGACAGTCACTAATTGCTTTACTCATTTCATTAGTTACTGGGCAAAAGCTAATTATTGAATCAAAAACAAGATCTTTAATATCATTACCAAAGAAATCAGTTTTTACGTTTAAGTAGAGATAAGTGATTCTTGCTGCTCTAAATAAGAGTGTTCCTAACATCTTTTACTACCTGAATGCCAGATATATAGTCAAGTCCTGTATCTGGTGCAATATAAAATTTTGTCATCCAAGGGCCAGAAAGTAGCTTTCCAATTAAAGCTAAAACACACAACTCACGGATACCTAAGGTAAATTAGTTAATAAGTAACAAAAAATAAAATTTGTCTTTATTCTTTGTTAATCATGTGTCATTACTATGTTATAAATATGCATTTTATAGCCTATAATATTGTAAATAATAGTGGTATACCTATTTCAGATGTAAAGTCTTGAAACAAACTATTTCGCAGACCTCCACATAACGCCAAGCCAGAACACAGAAATATCTTCAATATGGCATAATGATAGATCAAAATACCACATGTGTGAAAAAGTATATGTAGTCTGTTCCCTCAATAGCGTGGTAGCAATCCTCTGGGCAACTCATGTTGGTCCAAAAAGGTTACAAAACCCTTTGGATCGCCTATGAATAACATAAAGAAAGTCATTTTGGGAATTGCAAGGAGAATATGAATTAAAAACATGCAATAATTATAATATTTATATATTTTTAACTTGTAATTTTATTTACAAAACTACACTATATTAAAGTAAAAGAATGGTTTTAAAACTATATAGGTACCTTTAGCATCCTTGTAACGAAGTTTGTTCAGCTGTACGACAATGTTTGCTGCTACGCAGTCTCTTCCAAAAAGTTTCCCTTTTGAAGTCTCAAATGCTTTAAGTGATGACTTGCAAGATCTTGTCATTGTATCCAAGGGGTGAAGGTGACAGTTAAGCTCATTTAATGATTTCTGCCAAACTAGGTATAACTTTGTGACTGTTGCATGGTTTGTTGCAACTCTATCACTCATGGTATTTGTTATGTTCCCGATAATAGTGCTTCTTACATCAGTGTATTTAAGCTTGTAGAAGTCACTATATAACTTAGCAAGATTATCAACAGATTTTGTAATATGACTATGATAGTCATAAGCTGTACCTCCAGGAAGTTGATCAATAGCTACAACCATACATACTTATTCGGTTGTTAAGTGCACAGTATTTACATGAACACCCTCCTGGGTTGTTGCATCAAAACCAAGTGTCAGATCTTTCGTTGTAAATGCTATCTCAGCAGTCTGTAAGTCTGAAAGAACACCAAGCTCACGCATCATTTGTTCTACAGTTGTCCGATGTGGAATTTGATTAAATTAATAGCCAGTATGTTCTCCAATTTTATGGAGCAGAGATGGTACACTATGTGTAGGAACTTGGCACACAAGCATGTCATATATAAGTGTTCTGATATCTGCTGAGTAGCATTTTTCATTTTTGGTGTTTTGTGTTACTTGCTGAATTTCTTCTAACTTTTCCTGTAAAACCAGTATGTCATTTTGAAGTACAAGAATTGCAGAATTTTTGTCAGCAAGTTGTTGGGATAACATTGTCTTTTGATTAAAAAACTTGGTTTCGGTGAATGTTAACTGTTGTTTCAAATAAAAATATTTGATTTTGAAGTTTTTTAACTGTATATTTAAAAAACTTTCTTCCAATTTTTTTCTAAGTTGATGAATTATCTTTTCCTTACGAGCAATAACTTGATTTAGATATTTTGATCTGTATGGTCTAGCCTTTGCCTTTTCTTTTAAACCTTTAAGATCTTCTTTATGTTTTCTCTTTTTAATCAACCTGGATAATGATTCTTGAGAAGAGTCACTATTTGATAGAGACGAAACAGTGATTTGCTGAGAAAAAAATGAAGAACACGTAGCAATGTGATTAGAGGTTGTGATTAACTGTGATGTTTGAGTCACAGCATATGTTGTTGATTGGTATTTAAAGAGCATGTTGCAGATGTCAATAAATTGTTTTGAATTTCGTGAAAAAGCTTTTACAAAGACTTTTGATTTTCTAACTAGTTGCAGAATCTGATTGGGAAAAATGTCGATGTTAAAATACATACTAATTAGTTCTACAGTTACTTGGTATGAACCATTGTTAGTTGCCAATATATGCAGTACATGTCCATTTCTACAGCCAATATTTAAATGAGCTGGTATTGGAAAATTACAAACTAAATAAGATTTAGCTTTACCATAAAATTGATTTGTTTTCTTTTTAGGTCAAATTATAGGTTGCATTTTATTCTAAATCACCATAAAAAAGTGTCATAATTTTTACTTCAGCATTTTAAATTAGATTTAACAGAATTTAGCCTTGAAACTAATTTTGGCGTGTGAAATCATCAATAGTGTTAGTAATATTATTACTTACAACTTTTTTTTTTTAATAGCCATTTATTACTAATAAAAGGCTATTGAAAAAAAAATTGTATACCTTTTTAATGAAAGCTATCTATATATCTCATTATTATGAATAGACAATCTAATATACCAAATGCTCACCATCAAATTACGCCCCCCCTCCCCGCCTAAACGGAAGTGGAAATACATACCTCCACTGTACAGAAAAATAGGGTGTCTGCGCATAAACATTTTTTAATGAAATTTGGCAGGCACATAGAAAATAGATTTATACTGCTTACTGGAAAATTTTAAAAGTGTAGCAACATGCCTTCAATATTAATGTACTTCCAGAACAGAAACGAAATTTGAAAATCTAATAAAAATCACTAGTAAATGTAAAAAAAGCAACGAAATTTATATTAAGAAGTAACAGTAACATTAACAGAAACAGTTTAATAAAGTGTAACAGTAACAGTAGTTGTAAAAAAGGTGGAAAATGTACCTACACTAGATGGAAAAATAGAGTATTTGGGCATAAATTTTTTTAAATGAAATTTGGAAGGAACATGGAAAATAGATTTACACAGCTGACTGGAAAATTTTAAATGTGTAGCAACATGCCTTCAATATCAATGCACTTCCAGAACACGAACAAAATTTAAAAGAGCAATAAAATCACTGAAAAACTTAATACTTTTGGAAAAAAAACATAATTTATACAACATAAAACATTCTACTTTTTAAAAAAAGTCTAAGCTGATGTAAAATTCTAAAAAAAAAGACTAATAAATACATCCTTATCACACCAACTTCGAGCACGCTGTGAAAAAAACGGTCACAGTTTTTTACTTATAAATCGGTGCCGTAAATAGCCAGATACGCACGTAGCTATAATATATATGGTTATATATATACACTATTGTACATCTCAAATATACAACAAAATCGGTTATATAATCCGTGATACACATATACTATATGTGTGTATATTTTTTATTTATGTATGTATATATTGTATGTGTATGTGACATATACAACAGTATATTAAATATCCTCACGTATTCCGTACGTCTTTGTTTATTTAGTATATACAACACGTTTTATATGCTAAATAAATAAAGACTCAAATGAATCGTTTCATTTATGGAAAAAATTTGTCTCTTCTTAAAATAATATATTTTCAAACATAAAATTATTTTGCATTGCATAAACTTTTTTATGTTTAATTTTTATTTTCAGATTACCCACAACAAGCTAATATCATGGTTACACCCTATGTTTCAACGCATCCTTTAATTTTCTGATCAACTGCGATTACCTCCACATGGTGGGAAAACAAGAAAACGTAAAGCAAACTGTTATAACTGGAAATAGTCAAAAAGAAAGCGACTTAGACAATCAGGAAAGGAATATATAAATGTTAGAGGCAAAGTTATTCAACAAGAAGTATTGAAAATAAAAGATTGTGCAAATTGTTGCAAGTTTAAGTGTATTGAGAAGATTTCAGAAGATGAGAGAAAAATATTATTTAATGGACTGTGGGGAATGTCTCAGATTGAAAAGCAATACTTTTTTAGTAAAACTACTGAACGATTAGATAAAAAAAATCTCTTACCAATAAAGTAAGCAATTCAAGGAGAAAATATACTTATTTTTACAATTTCTTTGTTGATAATATCAAGCATCGTGTATGTAAGGAGTTTTATTTGTCTACATTAGACATCAGCAGCAGGCAAATATCATACTATCATGAAAATAAACTTGAAACTGGTGTTTCTGCCGCAACAAAATGGGGGAAACATTGTAAAAAAAAAGTTCTTGAAATGACTAAACAGAATATAGAAAACAATATCAACTTGTTTCCACGAGTTGAGTCACATTATTGTTGAAGCATTTCCTCCAAACAATACTTTGATGGGTCATTAAATTTGAAGAAACTTTATAATTTGTAATTAACATATTGCACTCAATATGAAATTTCACCAGCAAAGGCATGTATGTACCGCAATGTTTTTAATACAAAATTTAATATTGAATTTCAAAAGCCGAAAAAGGATCTGTGTGATCATGCTACAAATTTCAAATTATTGAAGATGCAAATGGCAAATGAAGAGCAAATCCAAAAATATAACAAGCATATTGTATCAAAGAATGAAACAAAAATTGAGAGAGATATGGATCGAAAGTTGAACTCCCCTTCCACAACCATAGTTTGTATTGATCTACAAAATGTCTTGAGCTTGCTAAAAAGTAATGTGGGAAACTTTTTTTATAAAAGAAAGCTCAGCTGTTATAACTTAACAGGTCACTCTTCACTGAACAAAAAAGCATATTGTATATTATGGCATGAAGGTATGTCAGGTCGTTCTGGCAATGACATTGCCAGTGCTGTGATACGTATGCTAAATAAAGTTTACAAGGATTTTCCTAATATTAATAAATTTATACTTTGGTTTTATTCTTGCGTTCCACAGAATAGAAACAGTCATATGTCAGCTGCATTGCGTGAGTTTCTTATTGATCATCCAAATATTGAAATCATTGAGCAAAAGTCTTGTGAGCCAGGGCACACCTCTATTCAGGAATGTGATAATATACATAGCCAGATTGAGAAATCATTACATTCAGCAGAAATATTTAGTCCTCTTGGGTTGGTGAAAGCAATGTTGAATGCTAACCGACATAAACCATTTTTTGTATACCAAATGCAAAAAAGCGATATTAAAAATTTTTCAAAAATTGCTAGTCTTCTGAACTACAAAAATGTTCCATACTTTAATGTTAAAACGCTTGTATATAAGTTTAATGCTCCTGGTCATGTGTATTTCAAGACTCGTTTTACAGATATTTATAAAGAGGCTGTCTAAGTTAAAAAACACTCGATCATCAGGAAGTAATCTTGAAGAATCATCAATTCCATTGGCATCTTGTTTTCGACAAAATATTGAAGTTTCTAGTGAGAAGATAAAAGACATTGTTTCTATGTATCCTTACATGCCAGCTGTAGATGTTTGTTTCTATAAAACATTATTTCAGTAGTTGTTTTTTCAACTCTTTATCCAGATATACTTTATTTGTGTTATGCACTATTCAGTTTTATCTTGTATAAGGTTCATTTAAACTGTTCTTAACTTGTTATTTGTATTAAAGACATTTATTTTTTATTTTCAATAAATCTTTTTAGATAAAAGTAATTTTATTATAAATAATATAGCTTTGGTTACAATCAGTTTGTTAAAATTTAAGCTGCCCATCCTACCAGAAGCAATATATCTAGAAAACTTATTAAATGACCATATCCATTTAAATTTGCCAACTAAGTGTTTTGGGGTCTATATTTCCCTAAATTAAAAGTAATTTCTTGTAATCCATCAACTCCACGCAAAACGTTGAAGTTGTATTTACTAAAAAATGGAGATAGCACAAAATAATATTAACACAAAACTAAAATTTA